CCGGAGCAAATAATTATTACTGCGAAATTATTCATAGCTGAAGAAAAGTGCTCTTTTTTCTGTCTCACAAAATTAAAAAAAAATTAATTGATATCACTCCAAGCATTGGTAAAATTTTCAATTTTGAATTTCTAATTGCTTGTCACACTTTCATCTATTGTACTGTTACTCACATCACACTTTTAGACATTTTTTAAATTAGCTGTGGTAAAGCTGCAAACTAGTTTTTTATTCAAATATACGTAAATTTATAAGTTTCTTAGAAAAAATTATTACATTAACCAGACTTTACATTTCAACTCAGTGATATTCATGATCAATTTTATGCAATTTTGTTTTACTTAATTTAAGTAGTAGTTCTAGAAAACTTAGAGAATCCAATCCTTTTCTGTTTAGTTCGCATTTCTAATAAAATTGAAAATTTCTCCGAAATCTATTTGAAAATTTCTCCGAAATCTATTTGAAAATTTCTCCGAAATCTATTTGAAAATTTCTCCGAAATCCCATATGCTCTGCTAAACCAGATGGAATATTTCACATTAACATCATCGTCCTTTGAAAACTGATTTCAAAAGAGCCTTACTAATTTATCCTTACTTTTTGTTTTCTCTGTTTTACTAAGAAAATGCCATATGTGAACTTATCAAAACTTTTCAAAGATAGTTATTTGTAATGCTGAATACTATTTGATCAACAGGTTTGATCTCAAGCCAAGAACATAGTTTGATAAATCTAATTAACATTCACATCTTAACTATGGCTGCAATTATATTTGTTTGACTGGCCAGCTTATCAAGCAAGGAAGTTACGAGCTATTTTTCTGTATAAAGGAAATGCCCTCATGGAGAATTAAGGAAAACTGGCCTTCCGTTTCTATTTCGTTTTTGAATTGTTTAATAGGCATGCCATCCATGCGATATTAATTGAATAGTTCCTCAACAACTGCATCGTATTTTGCAATCAATCTATTCTAATTCAGTGTTTCTCGGGCTTTTCTTGCCCCATCTATCCCTTTCACCATTGTAGGCAATCATTCCTCCTCCTCCTTTAGAAAACAAGAAAAATACATATACATTTATTTAAATTTATATTATTTTTTATTAATTAAGCAAGAAAATTATAGAAAATATGCAAGGTTCTTTTATAGCAAACCAGTTATTTTATAGGTTTGAATCTTTACTGATAATCTCCTTTCTGTTTTCCTACCAGAATGCAAATTCGTTCGAGAATATTAATAGTGAGGTTTTAAACTGTATAACAGAGTGCAGTGGTCGCGTTACCAGCCCACATAAGATTTGTATTTTTGGGCCGATACTGAATTGCCGATATTCGATCTCTACGCCAGTTAGATAAGTGAGCCAACTTAGCGTTAAAGCAACTTATGTAACCTTGGGTTACTAGCTTATTTAATTGAAATTTTACATTTGTCTAACTGTTACCCTAAGTACATCGCACATACGTTTGGCTAATTTGCAAGCGCCAGATACGCCTCTCAGTTTTAAATATGTAAGGATTATGTTAATTTTATTAACAGTTAAATTTTAAGTTAAAGTTCCTTGCCTGTCAAATTCTTAACTTCAACTTTCTACTTCCGGCCAGAACGTAGTTTTGGATCTTGCTGATATTTTAATGAGGAGGAGCGGTTTTAAACCAAGAAGTTACTTACAGAGTCAGAGAGAATCAGAGTTTCTGATTTACTCGCTCTGCCTTTTTGGCCACTCTACCTCTCAAGCTGTTATTACTCTCGGCGTACTCAGGCCCTTGCTAAGCTTCGTAGTCAAATAAGTTAAGGGACCAACTCGATATGAATCTTGATAGCTTCGGCTGTATTCCTTTAGTTATTCTTAATTTTAGTTTAATCCTTAGTCTTTTAAGTTCAAGCCCAAGTGTCGGATTTGTTTGTACACTCCCAGGCGGAGTTTTGTTAAATCTTATTGGAATAATAAAGGGTTAGCTACCCTTCTATCTTGTTGTTTCTTGTCATCCGAACTTAAGCGATTATTCGCTAATTAGTTCTTAAGACTCGTCACTTTCTACAGTAAGTGAGATTTGCACAGTGAAAGTCTTACAAATAAAAGGGTTAAAAGACCCTTCTTAAGTTATTATTTTAGACATAACAATAATTCGCTTAATGTTTATCAGACGTTGGTTTAACATTGCTAAACGTTGGTTTAACGTTGTCGAACGTTGGTAGCGTTTGTTACTATTAGATGCTTGTAAAACATACCAAACTTTATAAATGCTGGTAAATACCAAATTTTGAGTAAAGTAGCTTTTATATTCATAAACTAACTACTTAACAGGTAAATAAACGGATGTGAAATCTCCGCCTTGTTCAAAGCCCCCTTTTTTGTAGTTGCATTACTAAAGCCACACATTACACTGCAACTACGAATACATAAGCATAAATAAGCTTTCTACCTCAATAATAAATTCTCGCTATTCGGCGCCTTATTGGTTAGGTATTAGCAGCCATTCTAAATCTTCTTCTCAGAATGATTCTGAGTTGTCACTCATATATCTTCATCGGGGTACATGATTAGGGTTCCGAAAGCTCTTTAACGTGTGCAGTTCTGAGGAAATAGAAGAAATACTTGCTTTCATTTCATTCTGAGGTTACCTGGCGCCAAAGAAGCCTTTCAAATTTCACCGCAGGTGTTATTAGAAGCTGCGTGAGATATGGATAATAAGCATTATCATCACTCGAAGGTTTTCATGACGTTAGCTTCTCTACAGAGCGATGTTGCCGTAGAGGTAAGGGATTTCCACACTAAGACATAATCCAGTGCAAGATTTAAATTGTAACGCCATTTAGAGTTCAAGGTTAAGTACAGTTACATATCTGTGGCAACTGTATTATTCATTTTGAACAGTTGATTTTTTTAATTGAACGAAGGACTGAGATAAAGCGTTTCTTTTCTTTTCTCACTATTTCTTTTACGAACATGTTTTAGAGTCCTATTAAGATTTAGATTTGAGAGCAATGACTGTGGTTAGGGGGGAAGTATAACAAATGTCAAATATTGCTACCTTGAACTGTACTCCGATTTCAACCAAAACTGCACTCCAACTGATAACACAAATATAACTAATATTGTATTATATATATATATATATATATTAGTTGCAACGAATTTGGAGTTATATATATATATTAGTTGCAACGAATTTGGAGAGGCTGAACTGCGTAGTTAGAACGATGACACTAGAAAGAAGCCATAACGATAAATTCCACACATGATTTTACTCCTTGATAATACGCATCATCACTGTAGGAACGCTATGCATGCCAAAATTTTATGCAGATTGCATCGTCCTAAAAATAAACTCTGCGTGGCTAGCGGCAAAGTAAAACACCGAAAAGAAGCAGAAGAGAAGAGAGAAGAGACAAGAACATAATCACAATACAAATGACTGGGGATAGGTTACTTAAAGATAACAATTAAACTGTTAGACTAAGAATATAAATAGAAGTTTAAAAAAGCGGTTAAACAAACTTATGTTTTATTAATTTTTGTATCATCATTATTTTCAATTTAAATAATGAAAACAGATTTTTAGACACAAATCGCAGATTGTAATTGCAGAAAAGTTCGATTTAAAATGACTGTTATGGTTGCGCTTGACGTAGTGGTGCAACATTTTCAATATTTGGCACAAAATTTCTGAATGTATTATTTACTTGATTAAAGGCTGCTTCCTCTGGTGAAAAAGAGTAAAAAATCAATAATGTTGGTTCGGTAATAACTTTAAATATGGAATATTTATCTCGGATGACTTTTAAATTCCAAAAGTTAGCATACCTATGTGTTTTCAACAAGTCTTGACTTATTTGTATAACAAAGCTTTGTATCAATGAACAATAATTATTAATTTTATTAATATATCCTTTCATAATCAATTGGATCATTTTTATGATGATCTGCCAGCACATCTTTTGCCATCGACGTCCAGTCGACACTCTGTTCATCACCGACACCCCTATTAAGACCTTATGCCTGTTATATTTAAGGATTTATATTATATTCTCCTATGTTCTTTCAGGAATGATCTTAGTCATTCATGTTTCTTCAGTCTAAGAATACACAAATATCATTGCACTCAAGGCCGAATTTCTAGAGTAATTATTAGTTTAAAGGGGCTTTGTACCTGAAGGACTATTGTTTTCGTGTTGCAATTTTGTATTTTTTATATTTTGCATATAAATGTCCGCTTCTCTTTCCAAACTGCTGCCATCAAATGCTAGAGTCCTGCATTATATTTGGAGAAATTAAGTAATGAAAAATATGCATAAATGTATGTATATTTCTCGCATTGTGATAAATCAACGGTACATAGAGCCATCGAATTTTGAATGACGTAATCCTAGTGCGAATATAGGCATGTAGAAGCAAGCCCAAATTTGAAATTTGGAATTTGTTTTATTATCGATTTTCTATTTTGTAAAACTTTAACGAATTTTTGATTAACAAACTCAAACATTTCAAAGCGAGCAATGGCAACGTTGTAAAGAAAAATATTTTTATCTCCAACGTGCGAGACTCTGTATCGGAAATTCTAAAGATATACTCAATTTAAAACTATTTTGCGATATTGCTAGTGAACTTAATTTTATGGTTTAAGTGCGAAGAACGCAGTATTTAATAGATAAAGGTAACAGACAAAATGTTAAAAAAAACCCCTTTGGACGTAATTTAAAATTTGAAACCTTTCAGACTTTTATTTATTTTTTTAATATGTTTTTTCATTTGGATCAAAAGATTTTGATACTGATAGCTTTACCTTCTAGTAATAGTAATGAAGTTAGACATTCAGTCATATTCCCGAAAGATGAGGTAAACGATGAAAAATATTAATGATAAGTATTCTGATCTGGATTGCTTGGAGATAATTAATAGATTACAAAATTTTTAAATAAATGTAATGAAAAAAATATTTTATTTTATAATCTTATGAGCAAATGAACAAATGTTGCAGAATTAGAAGGTCAGTGGTATATTTTTAACTCATAAATTTTGAAAGGTAACTTTAATAAAAGTATATGAACAAAATTAACATAAAAGTATTAGAAGCTAAAATACTGAGTAGAATAATGACTTTTTTCCGAAAGGAGAAAATATATATTTTCAAAGGAAATAAAAGCAACATTCGACGAGCTAAACCTTAGAACCAAAATCTCCAAAAAAGGTAGAATAGCTTCACTGAATCGAAACAGAGGAATTCAGCATTTTGCATTCCTTCGTCAACAATCTTCATCGACTCAATACTTTGCAGGTCCCTCGTGGAATATATATGCGCCAACTGCTGGTGGGCTGTCAATCTCTTCTTTTTTCATTCCTTGCTTCGGTAGTGGGTGAAAGAGGGTTGGCATCAGTACCTTGAGGAAAAAAATAATAATAATAAAAAAAAAAAACTCCTCAGAAAGGTATTGGTTTCTGGTAGGATTCGATTTTTGCATCTCCATCTACTCTAGAATGAATTCTGGATTTTGGGCGTGCATTTCAAGAACAGTGGTTCATGTCAAATGTTTCAACTATCAACTGAATTTCTTAAAGTTTCCAGTAATTAAATACCACGTTTATTCCAACAAGAAAAAAATTCCCAGATGAATAACCACGCACACTCCAGAATGACAGTAACAAAATTGTCATGGTAATAGGCAACTAAAACGGTTCAAACTATCCCTTGAATAATAAATTACTCAAAATTACGGAAAAAAAAATTAAATGTTTCAGAGTTTAAATTACGCCCAAAGGGGCGTTTTTTGACGTATTGTGTGTTACCTTCATTTATTAAATATCATCTTCTTCGCACCTAAACAATAAAATTCAATAGCAATGTTGCAAAATAATTTTAAAATAAGCCTAACTTTAGAACTTCCGAGACAGTGTCTCACGCGCTGGAGATAAATTTGTTTCCCAGTAGAATGCTGCCATTGCTAGCTTTGAAATCCCTGAGTTTGTAAATCAAAAATTCTTTAAAGTTTTACATAATATGAAAACCTATAATAAAACTAATTCCAAATTTCAAATTTGGGCTTCCACATACCCATATTCGCAGTAGAATTACGTCATTCAAAATTCGATGGCTCTATGTACCGTTGTTTTATCACAATGCGAGAAATATACAAACTTTTGTGCAGATTTTTCATTATTTAATTTCTTCAAATATAGTGCAGGACTCTAACATCTGGTGGCACCAGTTTGAAAAGTGAAACGGACATTTATAGTGATTCAACGCAAAATCGCAAAACGAAAACAATAGTCCTTCAGGGACAAAGACCCTTTGGACTAGATTTTGAATAAAACATTATTGATTTCCAAGCCTATCAGATACAGGTCCATTTTCTTCACGAACAGAAACATTTTTCCAAATTTTAAAGAGAGATAACTGTTTTTACATCAAAAGCAATAGGCGGAGCAAAGCAAAAGCGAATTCGCTGCTACCTGTCGAGAAAACAACAATGAAATGTGAAGAAACTAGCATGTTGGATTTCTAAAAGCGTTAAGAAGGAAGATATTAGAGATAATGTCATAAACTTAAAGAAGATATATTTTTGTGAACATATAAAGCTTCAAGAAAATTTTATTCTTCAACTGAAGCATTACAGATAATTTTTACAGAATCATAACCAAAGCCAGAAGTCAAAGTTGTGATTAAATGTTCAACTGTGATTAATTATAAAAAATTTTTATTACTTCAGCTTGTTATGTAAAAAAAGTGTAACTTTAAATAATTTTGAATATAATAAAATTATCTTTCGGTTAATTATCTGAAAAACCGGTGCTGATGTAAATATTAAAATAATCTCACTGATCTGAAGTCTAGAAACTGATTACATTTAGACTAAAATTTTTAAGTTAATCTTTTCAATGTAAATTAAATTGATTTGAAGTTTAAATTATTTAAATCAATATCAGTAAGAATAGAGTGAGATAAATATTTCTGTGTTGCCTTGGCATAAAATTTAAATACGTATTTCTCAATAAAAGGAAAAATGAAATTTATTTGTAAACTCTAAAAAGGCCCTATCGCATTAAAGAGCTATAATCTCCTCATTTCCTAAAACAGGTAAATCGCAAACAATGCCAATAAATAACAGTTTTTAAATACAGGTAGTCACAAACTCCTTTCTGTGAAATTCGAATACAGTTCCTTTTATAAGAAGGTCATTTATGAAAGTATTGTGGAGTCGTGGAATCACGAATTTATTAATTCAAATAAAGGGAGCATAACTAAGAGATTTTTCCCTTCTATCAAAATGAGATTGTCATGTCATCACTTCTTCACAAACTATAAATTAACCGAATTTCTTACTGGCCATGGAAATTTCAAAAGTTATTTGAATAGATTTAAGTTGAGCCCGAATCTGTCTGTGATTGTAGCCTCGGTGGCGAGGAGAATGTTGAACATGTGCTTCTTTTATTCCCTAAATATGGCAGCGAAAGAACGTTCTTGAAACTGGGACTGAAAAATTTTAATATTAACTGGCCTCCAGAATTTTACCACTTTATTTCCGAGAAAAGTGCTTTTAACACTTTTTCAATTCATTGCAAAACTTTGTAATCATCCTTAATTTTATTTCAGTTTTTTCTTTTGTTTATTTTGTATTGTGTTTCATACTTACTTCTGTAAGCCCCATGTGGTAATATGTGGTATATGGGGATCTTATTGTGTTTCTTTAATAAAAAAAATACTCTCGAAACAGCATGGAAATATTATCCATACATGAAATACTTCCATCATCAGCTTACATAAAATGATAAAAATCAAACTGTAATTTCAGGCACACGTAATTAATCAACAAGAATTTAAAATTAAAATACATTTATCAATTATCTGTTAACGCAAGTTAAGAAGTTAAGATTAGTTGGCCATACTGCCCCTAAATCTTTAGGTTAAATAATATACCAGATCTATTTTATTACAACCGTAATTTTGTATCAAATTTGGATTACAAACTTAAATATAATATATGATTCTTTTAAATTTACTGTAGAACGTTCCTTTTTTTCTTTTTTACCCCTTTCTGATACTAAACTACTGTTGAACAAGACTTAAAATCTTATATATTCAACTGATTGTACTCTATTCAAACACTTAGCCTACACATTTACAAATCTTCATCAAAGTAAATAAACACATTATAATTAACCGAATTCCGTTCTCTTTAAAATACTTTGTCATTAAAGCATAAATCATTTCCTATTAATTATAAAATTTAAAATTCCTTTAACAGTTAGTTTAAGAATAAAATAAAGTTGCCCTCATTTCATAAAAGAAACAAAGGTATAAGAAAATAATACAAAAACTACTCTAGTATGACTTCCTTAAAGCCCACAAGCTGCTGAGCGGTAAAGTCGCTAATCACTCTCAGTTTTGGCCCGAGGTTCGAGTCCCGAGAACGGGCTGGCTGCATGGGCGTTTTCGTGGTTTTTCCCATGTGTTACGTGTATACGAGTCAGTTTCCCTTAGGAATTCCTCCAGGAAGGCATCCCTTCCCTTAGGCAGATAGCGCTCGAGTGCTTTGCCGTAATCAGATACACCTCCCCCCACACACACCATGGCTTCCTTGAAAAATCTTGAAGTCTCACCAGAATCACTTGAAGTCCATCATCTCTGAAGGGACCACTCGACCTAAAAGCAGAATTAGAAAGATCAATCTATCGACTTCTGCATTACAAAGAGGACCTTCACACTAAAAAAGATTTACATCTATCCTATGCCAGCATAGAAAGCTTCCAAGATCCCCCTGACTTACACCCAGGAGATCTACCCATCCTTTCCTGGTGCAAATCGCCACCCTCAGAACAACAAAGAGAGATTTTTTCTGACGGTTCAAAAATTTCAGGACGAGTAGGGGCAGCGTTCACGGTCTTTTCGAACAATGAAGAAATTTATCAAGCACAATTCCGTCTAAGCAATCATGCTTTAGTCTTCCAAGCCGAGTCCCTAGCACTCAAAGAAGCAGCACTATGGTTAGGTACGCAACCAGCAGCTCACACTTCATTCTTCACAGATAGCATGAACGTTCTGAATGCGCTGAATTCCTTTCCTCCAAAACATCCGCACACGGCAGCACTTAGAAAGATCTTCTTGACCTTAGGCTCTTCCATACCTTTAAAGATCAACTGGATAAAAGGGCATAGCGGGCAGAAAGGCAACGAACGAGCGGATGAACTAGCTAAGATTGCAGCTCTCAAACCAGAAATTGACAAGGAAGTTTCGCTTTCCGCAGAAGTTGCAAAAAGGCTCCTCAAGACAGCATTTCAAGAGACATGGTCATCACGATGGCAGGAAGAAGAGACAGGAAGATTTACTTACAACATCTTCCCAATACCTTCTCTCAAGAGGCTGAAATGCAACCGACTCTTCCTCCAAGCCTGTACCAACCACGGGAAATTCCCAGCGTATTACATATGTTTCCTCAGACGGGACGTCAACTGTTCTTGCGGTTTTCGCGGGGAAGACGCGGACGCACTTCATTACCTGCTCTCCTGCCCTCTGACAGAGCACCTTCGACAACAGTTCTTTCCTTCCGACTACATTACATATCCTGTGAATAGACTGTTCACGGACTATTACTGCAACAAGGGCATCTTAGAGATAATGAAGCAAGTGAATGAAAATAATTATATCCAAGAAACTATAGATTAAAGTAAAATGTAAAAAGGCGGCCTAACCGTCAGATTGCTAGCAATGATTAGGATGACTTCCTAACCTGTAGTGCCATTAACTCAGTTTGGCGGAACAGGTTAAGTAAAGTGACCATATATATCTCTGAAGGGAAGAATGGAGTTGCACCTTAAGAGGAATTGTGGAATTGACTGGTTTCTATTACCAGTTACACTAATTTTAATTTTGGTTGCTTTCATAAATTTAGGCGCTAAGGATTTTAACTTTTCGATTTCTTAATGCAATATATTTAAAGTGGGTGCCTTATAATTCTTTAATCTTCTTAAGAACTTCTGATGATAAAAATTAACTAATTTATATTTTTTTTAGAAAACTTAATATGTATTTTAACTCCTTCACATCGACGTCGCACGTAACGCTCGTGCATTCAAACATCGGCAAGTCGCCCGAACGCCTACGTCCATTTTCCACGTGGTGCTTTTCCTCATTAGGTTAGGGCATGGCTGATTGGTTTCGAGATTGTTAAATGACATACCAATTATTCTTCTGAAGCGACTAAAGTAGTGTCTGTGAAACTGTTGGTGACTGAAAGTCTTTTTCTGTGCATTATGCAGTATAATATTAACAAGGAAAGGTTCTGTTGCACGTCGTGTTTGTTACAAATTGTACCTATTAGTAACGGATTGGCATGGCGTCTAGAGCTTTACCTAGCCCATAAATATAATTGCTCGCAAATTTTTA